GAGGATTCCACGGGAGCAATGCCGCCGCAGAGAAGCGATTGGAATTTTTAATACGCGATTCTTGCTCGCGCTCCCTTCAATTCTCGCGCTCGAAATTTGCCGATTGATTTGGAACAGGATGTTTTAAACCCTGGATGGAGGATGGTACGGAGGTAAATGGGCCTCGATAAATCGTGAAATTATTCGAGCCGAATCGCCGTAACCGGGACCGATCGGTTCTTTGTCAAAGTGTCGGAGTAGGGAGGGGAAAGGGGAGGGGGAGAGAGAGGGATGGTTGGATTGCTTTGCTAACCAATATCGAAGGTAATAACGAGAAGGAGTCGAAAAGTGTCGTTAAAGTTTCCGGGAAACTTTTCGAAATTTATTACGAACGATAACCGGATTTCTATTCGATACTTGGTCCCCTCTAATTACCATACGAATCAGCGGGCAATAATTCGCCCAACCAACGTCGAAAAGTAACGATTCGACTATGGGCGGAGAGAAAAGGGAAGGGAAGGGGGGGAATTTTCGAAAGAAAATGTTTCTGCAAACGACGGCCACGGATTGGGAAGCGTCGCAACGGCTAATGAATCACGAGCGTTTCGGAGGAGGATCCGGCTGAAAACACCTTCAGTTTATCGGGCAAATAAATTTCTGGAATTAGATCTCCATGTCGTCGGGAAATTGTGGCCAACTGGTATCGAGACAGCCGGGGTCTGTTAGGCTCGATTCGCGCTGTTCCAGAAAATTTACGAGTCCGCCGGATTGCCTTGTCGAAGATTGCAGCCAATCCCATCGGTCGGAAAGCTTCGTCTCTTGTACCGCTCAAGCTTAATTTGTGAGATCTCTCGTTCGCTTCGCGATCCTTCCGTTCTCTACTTCTTTTTTCCTTCTCTTCCCTCCTCGTCCTAAATATTCTACCACGATTTTTCTCGCGCCAACAGTTAAAAAATATATATATATATTTCTGGAATAAAATTCATCGAGATAATAAAAATGTTATCGTAATATCAAAATTCATATATAAATTTACACGGAGGCGTGAGTTGAAAATAATACGAAAGTAATTACGTTACGGCAAGTATTTTTTGCAGGAGAAAAAGTAGAAATCGCTTTCGAAAAATCTTCTTGATACCATAAAATTCAGCTCGAAACTATGCTGCGAAGGTCGGGACAGAAGGGTGCGAAGCTTGTCGAGTTAGGTGGGTGTTGCTCGTGAGTGCTGCGAAGCTCGTGATACCAGCACGTAAGAAGATTTCAGACGCGTAGGTGCTTCCACGCGGTATGAAAGGTTAGACGTCAACAGAGTAATAAATTAGAGGAAATTCGTCCGACGCTGGCATTAAATGACTATCTCTTCTCCCGACAAGTGATATATGACAACGTTTAATGTTGCGCGAGTAGTTGAAACTGTAAAGGGATGAAAATTTTGAGAAACTGGAAAACAATATTGAGAAAATGATAAACGAAAATTGTTCTACAGGTTCTACAATGGTAGAACAGCGCAGTAGTTGGTCGTTTGTCGGACGAGTGGAACAAGAAGAGAATAAGATTAAATGAATGGTATAGATCGATCGTTTGTCAAGCGAGGAGGAAAAAAAAAATAATAATAAATCAGTCAGAATAGAATAAATAATTTGGGAAAATATAAAGGATATTGTGATTATATGCGGGAAAGAGATTTTAAGCAATTATTGAATATCATTATAGAATTACGATACGTTAAAGTAGCTTATATCAAAAAGGTATCCGTATAATCGTATCGGATTTGGAATTTCATATTACTATCATTAATACTAATGGCCAAAATTTTAGCATATTTTAATGAGCGAATAATCGGAATTGTAGAATATTGTAATACCGGTATAATAGAACAAAATGTCGCATATACAGGGATAATTAATTTCAAATTTTCATGTTTCCCGTTACGCAAAAACAAAGGATTATTATCAATCGACCAATTTTTGACCCCGTTAGAAACATGATTTCGTGATAAGCTACACAAATTTTGAAAATTGTTGAAAAAGAATCAGAAGATATCTCGAAGAGAATATTAAAAAGAGAATATTAATCTAGTAAATTGTCAACTTGTTCAAAAAGCATCGCGCTATATCTTCAAATTACGAATCATGCTAACTTATCTCGACAAGCATTGTCTACCAAAAAACTGACCAAAAAAAAAGGAATTTTCTTAAAAATTCAGGATGTTCACCGGGAATTTGTCGAGAGAAATAACGGCATGACACGTGAAAGCACGACCACCAAGTATCTACCAACTGGACTGGACCAATTTCTGCCTTACTTTTACCCCACCTATCTCCCTCCCCCCCTCCCTCCATTTTCATTCGTATCCACGTACTCGAAAAGAACTTTCTCCCATTACTTCAACGTCTAACAGCGACATTAGAGTAGATTGTTTATTGAAAGTAAGCCCTGAGAACCCGATCGAATTCGTCGCCGAATTCAACCGATCGATGGCCACAAGCGGACGGCCAAAAGCTTCCGCGAAAATCGGAAAAGTCAACGTCGTCATTATGCGACGCAATAATATAACGTTCCTCGACGTTCAACCAATAGAGTGGAGGGGGTCGGAGGACGAAAATTACACGGCACGAGGTACAGAGAAAGGATTATATACGCGTTCGTGGCTTCCACAACGTGTGCGCTACGCGGTGCATTCGTCGATCGTATCCCCTTCGAA